CGATTTAAAGGAAATCTACCTGAAACCAATTACGTCCGTACCTGGAGCTGCTGTATACGGCCAGTATACGGCTCATCTACAGGGCTTGACCAAAATGAGCCGTATAATAGCCGTATGCAGCAGATATGCTGCGTTCAAACGAGTTCCAGAGCTTGACCAAGATGAGCAGTATACCAAATTCGATTCTACACTCATGATGTAGTTAAAATCTACCTGAAACCAATTACATCAGTTCCAATTTAACCGAATTACAAACGGCTACATAGCAACCCTGCATAGATACATATATTACGGCTACATAGGAGCTCTAGCTTCCTAGGGTTTCCAAGTGGTTTCAAAGCAGTTTCAATGTTTTTTCATTTTGGTTTGAATTTAACAATGCTGGTAGATGCAGGTTTGAATTAAAAACGCCTAGATACCAAAGCTACATAGATACATACATACACACCTGCATACCTACATGAGTGCAGCCGTAATTCGGTAGTATTGCAATCGTAATTGGATCTGCCGAATTACGATTCCAATTTAACCGAATTAAAAACGCCTACATACCAAAGCTACATAGATACATATACACACCTACAAGTGCAGCCAAAATTCGGCAGTATTGGCATCGTAATTGAATATGCCGAATTGCGATTCCAACTTAACCGAATTGCAAACGGCTACATAGCAACCCTGCATAGATACCTATATTACTACAAACATACATACATACATAAAGCACCTACATACCTACATATGAGCCAGAGCTTCAGAGCTCTAGCTTCCTAGGGTTTCCAAGTGGTTTCAAAGCAGTTTCAATGTTTTTTTCCTTTTTGGTTCGAATTAAAAAAAAGGCTGGTAGATGCAGGTTTGAGTTAAAAACGCCTACATACCAAAGCTACATAGATACATACATACACACCTACATACCTACATGAGTGCAGCCGCAATTCGGTAGTATTGGAATCGTAATTGGATCTGCCGAATTACGATCACCGGCTAGAAACAAATCAATGGATTTTGCTTGTCGGGGCCGGGTTCGGTCCGGATTCGCTGCAAGAGATCTGTTCGAACTTACTTTCTACCTACTTTCTGCTTGAGATCGCCTACATTCCTGCCCGTTTTCTGCTCAAGAATCTAGGACAAGAGAGATCAGAGGAGGGGTGCTTAACCACGCTCAGTGTGTGTGGAGGTCACATGGCTGCTATTAGAGGTGTTCACCGGCTAGAAACAAATCAATGGATTCTGCTTATCGGGGCCGGATTCGGTCCGGATTCGCTGCAAAAGATCTGTTCGAACTTACTTTCTACCTACTTTCTGCTTGACATCGCCTACATTGCTGCCCGTTTTCTGCTCAAGAATCTAGGACAAGAGAGATCAGAGGAGGGGTGCTTTACTACGCTCACTGTGTGGAGGTCACATGGCTGCTATTAGAGGTGTTCACCGGCTAGAAACAAATCAATGGATTCTGCTTGTCGGGGCCGGATTCGGTCCGGATTCGCTGCAAGCGATCTGTTCGAACTTACTTTCTACCTACTTTCTGCTTGACATCGCCTACATTGCTGCCCGTTTTCTGCTCAAGAATCTAGGACAAGAGAGATCAGAGGAGGGGTGCTTAACCACGCTCACTGTGTGGAGGTCACATGGCTGCTATTAGAGGTGTTCACCGGCTAGAAACAAATCAATGGATTCTGCTTGTCCGGGCCGGATTCGGTCCGGATTCGCTGCAAGAGATCTGTTCGAACTTACTTTCTACCTACTTTCTGCTTGAGATCGCCTACATTGCTGCCCGTTTTCTGCTCAAGAATCTAGGACAAGAGAGATCAGAGGAGGGGTGCTTAACCACGCTCAGTGTGTGGAGGTCACATGGCTGCTATTAGAGGTGTTCACCGGCTAGAAACAAATCAATGGATTCTGCTTATCGGGGCCGGATTCGGTCCGGATTCGCTGCAAAAGATCTGTTCGAACTTACTTTCTACCTACTTTCTGCTTGACATCGCCTACATTGCTGCCCGTTTTCTGCTCAAGAATCTCTAGGACAAGAGAGATCAGAGGAGGGGTGCTTAACCACGCTCACTGTGTGGAGGTCACATGGCTGCTATTAGAGGTGTTCACCGGCTAGAAACAAATCAATGGATTCTGCTTGTCGGGGCCGGATTCGGTCCGGATTCGCTGCAAGAGATCTGTTCGAACTTACTTTCTACCTACTTTCTGCTTGACATCGCCTACATTGCTGCCCGTTTTCTGCTCAAGAATCTAGGACAAGAGAGATCAGAGGAGGGGTGCTTAACCATGCTCACTGTGTGGAGGTCACATGGCTGCTATTAGAGGTGTTCACCGGCTAGAAACAAATCAATGGATTCTGCTTGTCGGGGCCGGATTCAGTCCGGATTCGCTGCAAGAGATCCGTTCGAACTTACTTTCTACCTACTTTCTGCTTGACATCGCCTACATTGCTGCCCGTTTTCTGCTCAAGAATCTAGGACAAGAGAGATCAGAGGAGGGGTGCTTAACCACGCTCACTGTGTGGAGGTCACATGGCTGCTATTAGAGGTGTTCACCGGCTAGAAACAAATCAATGGATTCTGCTTGTCGGGGCCGGATTCGGTCCGGATTCGCTGCAAGAGATCTGTTCGAACTTACTTTCTACCTACTTTCTGCTTGAGATCGCCTACATTGCTGCCCGTTTTCTGCTTAAGAATCTAGGACAAAAGAGATCAGAGGAGGGGTGCTTAACCACGCTCACTGTGTGGAGGTCACATGGCTGCTATTAGAGGTGTTCACCGGCTAGAAACAAATCAATGGATTCTGCTTGTCGGGGCCGGATTCGGTCCGGATTCGCTGCAAGCGATCTGTTCGAACTTACTTTCTACCTACTTTCTGCTTGACATCGCCTACATTGCTGCCCGTTTTCTGCTCAAGAATCTAGGACAAGAGAGATCACAGGAGGGGTGCTTAACCACGCTCACTGTGTGGAGGTCACATGGCTGCTATTAGAGGTGTTCACCGGCTAGAAACAAATCAATGGATTCTGCTTGTCGGGGCCGGATTCGGCCCGGATTCGCTGCAAGAGATCTGTTCGAACTTACTTTCTACCTACTTTCTGCTTGAGATCGCCTACATTGCTGCCCGTTTTCTGCTTAAGAATCTAGGACAAGAGAGATCAGAGGAGGGGTGCTTAACCACGCTCAGTGTGTGGAGGTCACATGGCTGCTATTAGAGGTGTTCACCGGCTAGAAACAAATCAATGGATTCTGCTTGTCGGGGCCGGATTCGGTCCGGATTCGCTGCAAGAGATCTGTTCGAACTTACTTTCTACCTACTTTCTGCTTGAGATCGCCTACATTGCTGCCCATTTTCTGCTCAAGAATCTAGGACAAGAGAGATCAGAGGAGGGGTGCTTAACCACGCTCACTGTGTGGAGGTCACATGGCTGCTATTAGAGGTGTTCACCGGCTAGAAACAAATCAATGGATTCTGCTTGTCGGGGCCGGATTCGGTCCGGATTCGCTGCAAGCCTCTCAGAATTCTCATGGATGAGGTCCAAAGCTGCCCTGGAAATCCAAGGGGCAAGTTCCTTTTTCACCAAGTTGGTTTTCAAAAAAAGCCTTTCACCCAATCGTGCTGCAAACAAATAGACTGACTTAACACAATGGACCATTTTACGAATGTGTCTCTAACTTCTAGATATGTTATACGTGGGCTCATCTCTCACACTGAACTTATCTATATATATAACTGAAAATCTAAGATACGAATATCTATTATGTATATATGTGTATTGTTTCTGGCAACGGCTCCTATATATACAACACCTGTATACCGGAAAACAAACTTGCATTCCAAACATGTCCCTTCTGAGTGTTTGAAACTGGTATGAAACTCCTCTGAAACCTCATCCGAGGCTTCGATTGTGCCCACTGGGGAGAGGAAAGCCAATCATACAAAAGACTGTGTTAGAAATGAACTCACTTTTCCATCACCGTCCATTGTATTCGGGGGGTATTGGGATGTGCATTCGATATTATTGGCATCATAATTAGATTTGTAGAATTACGGCTCCATGTCGCATTCCACATGCCTACGTACGAAGCCTTGAACCCTATGCATCCATATGCAAAAACACATAGATCCATACATGCATCCTATCATACATATGTACCTAAGTACCTACATGCCTACATAGCATAATCTAACCCTTCTGCAGGTCTGAAACTGTGAATTTTGCCCTGGATATCCGAGGTGCATCATAGAAGCTTTGAATTCCACACAAGTTTGCTGGACCGCAAATGTTCCCACGCCTGTCAAAGATCCAACGTTCCTAGGGATCGCCGCGGCCCGCCGCCCGAAAAGGCTGCGAGAAGCTGCTTTTGTTTCAGAAATGTAAACACGTATATTTCTATATGAATAAAATGTAAAATTTTATATTTATATATGAATATATATATATTATTTATGTATATTTAAATATATAATATATATTCATATATAAATTAATATCTACATATATTTATTAATATATGTATGTATGTCTCCTTATGTATGCATTTGTATGTATATATAAAAATAAATAAATGTATATTGAAAAAGAAACGTAAGCTATCGAATCGAACCACGAATGGAAACGCAAGCTATCGAATCTAACTTGAATGACGAATCCAAATCGGAAATTGAATCGCAAGCTAACGAATTGATATTAATCAAGAATCGCTTACTAACGCACATACTCCCCGCAGGACTCGAATCGTTCCGAATCGAATCGTTAATCGAATCGCACTAGGCGGAATCGAAGGCCAATTCTCAGGGAATCAATTCCTTCTGTAAAAAATCGAATCGAAATCGCCAAAAACGAACCGGGACCACCCTGTATAGGTCCAATTCTTGCCAGTTCTGCCCGCTCTGGTAACCTAACCTGGCGATTGATGGAGAATTGTCCTATTAGACATAGGGAGTTTTCCACTACCATGTTCGACTACCGAAGGGTACAACAGAAAATATAGATGAAATTGATGAAATCACACATCAACAAATAGATAAAAATAGAACGTCATAGTCTTACAGCCATCATAACCCAAACATATCATAACCCAAACTTCCAAGCCCCGCCTCTCCCAGGTCACATCATGGGTGGAGGACACGGCCGTGGCCAGCTGTACCAACAACTCATCCACTTCGCTGCGGTACTTAGATTCCACCTCGCCCACGGTACCTGCCACCGAGCAGTTTTGGGTGACTGTTTCAAGGAATCAAAATGGATGAAATATGATGAAATTACTATAATTCTTCGGCAAAATGATTGGACGATATTGATCAATATTGGACAAATGATTGGACAAATATGCGTGAAACCAGGCAGCAAATCAAGGAAAACATGGAGGAACAATCACAGATAATCACATGGGAATCATGAAAACTGGGCAACAGAATAAAATGAGCAATTAAACCCTCGTGCAATCAAAGCAAGCAATGGGACATCCCTAATTTGGATCAGATGTTTTTCGATTCTCCCATTGCCAATGTTTGACTCACCATGTCAACTGCCAAGGTTCACTTATGCAGAGCACCAACCATCATGTAAGCAGCAATCCACAAGTTCTTCTCCCAATAGGCTTGCTGAAACTCCATGTCACGCAAGATTCGACAGGCTAAATCGCCTGAGATTTGATGAGCAGTCAACCCCCTCCAGCCGGCTTCTGAAGCCGGTATTAAAATCCTCCCTTCCACCAAAGATCATAGCAATATATGCAATATAAAGCAATCCCGCAATCCCCAAATAGAGGAACCGTTTCGAACCTGCACACTATATGATCTATATGATTTATATTGCCTTCAACATCTTGGAAAGAAACTCCATGAAACTCTTCTTTCTTCTCGCGGGGTCCATGCTTCAAGTTGCTGGAAGTGAGTCTCCAATGAACCTCTCTGGCCCATTTCCCTCCAGCATTCACCGCACTTAAGCCCTCTGGGTCCGTGTCAGTCTTGCCATCCAACGGTGGCTCTCCTTTCTTGGCCACGGCAAAGTAAACCTGCCAGCGTGGCAGGCTAGGCTTCGAGTGATGCGTGTTCAACTCATCTCTGACCTAGGACCTATGTGGTCAATGCTCAAAGATACTTCTTGCAGTGTATACTAAAATGCATCAACCCAACCCTTCCACAGGCAACTTATGGAAAAAAAAGATCTGCACAGTCAGCCCTCAGCCCAGGGACTAAGAGGATGGTCAGGGGCAAACCTGGCTTCAATTTCTCTTCCAGGAAAGGCATTAAAACTCCATTTTGGACGAAAATCAAGTCCTCGTGCCTTAAGTGCTGGGCGGCGGATTCGGAAAGGATCTGGATGAGAACCTCATGAACATCTGGATGTACTTGGAAGCTATCTCCGAAAGATGGTCACTGAATGTTAACGATAGATATATATATATATATGTATATCATTGGTATCATTGATATCCTCAAAATATGTGTATGTATATATATATATATATATTAGTGTGCGTGTGTTTGGATATATTAATATTTATGTATATTATGTATATTTATGATGATATATGATGACCCCTCTGTTCTCCCCAGACCAATGGGCAAAAATTAGATGTTAAGTTGTTCCATGTCCATCCATTTCCAACATCCATCATCCGACCCAAAAAAAGGCACCGATCTCCAAGGCACCGATCTTCGGGCACCGAGGCGATAACTGCCTCCAGGGCGTCGTTCCGGGTGCAGACGTAGATCGGTCCCCTGGGCGCGTCGCTGGGGAAGGCCTCCCCGCGGCGCAGAATCACGTCGTCGCCTAGGCCCATCTTGGCCAAGGCCTCACCCAGGCGGCCGCCGCCCACGATGACCTGAGACAAATGTCAAGTTGAACACGGGGGATGTTAAATATGTTCATAATTGATGTTAAATATGTGCATAATTTTCATAATAATATTAATTATATGATGTTGTTTAAATATAAATGTACAAAATAAATTGTATATATATATAATGTGGAGAGAGAAAGAGAGATCGATATAGAAGAAACCTGGAGGCTGGATGTGATACTTAAGGGAATTCCGAATTGTTGGGGACATCATAATTATTCATAAATTATAATTGGAAAACTTTGAGAATAGCAGCAGCATCGAAAATAACATATTTACACTCACCTTGAAAACTATCATCTTACATTCTTACATCTCCAATCAGTAGAAGACGCCTCTCAAGTATATTTTCCAAATGTCCACAGATCTTGGAGACATCCTTAGTAACTTAGGATGCATTCTCTCTGAACGTATGTGCTATGTGCTAACAAGAACGCAGGGTAAAAAGAAGGCACCCCCACATGTGGGTCAAAGGGCGGGTACTGCATGGCACCAGCCAACATCAGGATCACAATGCCCCAGGTTTCTCCGCAGTTTCAACTCATCCCAGGGATTCTGAAATATCTGAAATGGAAATGAATAATAAGATATCATAAGCATCTGTCTGCCGCTATGGTCTGCTAGTCAATCTTTGGAATCAGTCCACCCAAATTCTTGTTGGTGGCATGCCATGTCCTCACACGTATCCCCCTTAATTAATCTTAATTAATTACATGTTTCTTCGTGCATCACCATGATGGGCTTGTTTGTTGAAACCTCATGTCCTTCATTCAAATTGCCGATATAAATGGCGGTAAATCAATATAAATGAATCCCCGATGTTTGGGCAACCCCAACTTTCAAATTACCAACTTTCAGATATTCAAAACATGGTCGAGCATTGGGTTTTCATTCGTGGTTTATTGGACAAAAGTCATGTGGCAGTGTGTCAAAACCTTGTACCCCTGGTGAACCCCAAAATAGCTGGTAAATGGATGTTCATCCCATTAGAATTATTATTATAATAGGTTTTGACCCATACCCATGTTTGAACCCACCGTCCAGCGCCGGCACCGCAGGGGGGTACTTCTCCGGACCCTCCGCGGCGTGGCAGCGCAGCACTTCCCCCCGTGCTCGGCGGCCGTGCACCGGTGTGGATCGGAGCCGGGAGGTCTGCCCCGCAACGAGGCAGCCTAGGTGCCAGGGAAGTGACATGGATTTTTTTTCCAACAACGATGGGGATTTAATGGGATTTAATGGTGTTTATATTGATCGATTATAGCATCTATAGTTTATTAATGATATCTAAGTTGGTAACATTTGGTAACTATCATCCCAAACCCATCCAAAAACCCTTGATTCTTGGAGAATCCAAAACCCTGTTTGAGTTGAACTTCAAAGATGTGCTAAACAAAAAACCAGCAAGTCACCAGCAGCTGCAGCCAAGACCTGCCCCGCCAATCTGCTGGCCCTCTGATTCATAGCATCAATGCTGGGCCGCGGCCCCGATCGCCATGCTGGTCTCAAAAGCTGGACAGCCCCAGCAGCCCCACTGGAGAGGGGCAAACGGAGCACCATGGCCACGAACTTTAGTAACTTCAGAGCCAACTGAGAGTGGGAAACTGAGAGTGGGTGACACGAATTTCAAAGCTGGACACTTTTCATGCAAACAACCCTTTGGAATTGGGATTGATTGAGATTATTTGCCACGAAAAGGGCCACATGTAAAATGCCATGTGTGGATATGTATGGTAACTAACATAGCTGTGATGCTGTGGAAGATGGCCCCGAATGATTTACAATGATTTACCTTTAAAAAATTGTCATTATCATTTATGGGTTAAATTGCCATAGGGATCCATAGGGTACGTGTCCATTCAGCCCATCTCAGAGCTCGGGTACAGGAAGCCGATCACAGAGAAGATCTTCATTGGTTTCGGCTCCCAAATCTTCCGCCATTCCCTTGGTCGGATCGGAACCAAACCCCGAACATTTGCAGCGGTTCAAATGGTTTCAAATGGTTTGAACATGTTGTAACTCAACAGTTTTTAACATGAAAAAAGGGATGGGATCTCTTTGATGTAAGATTTGCATAGATTTGCAAGAAACCAATTCTCGGCCTGCAATGTCTATGCGACGTCATGCAGCACATGCAGCAGCCAATGGGAATAGTGTTGCCGGACCTATCTGAAAAGAATGGCCAATGGCAACTGCCAAGTTGCTTCTGGCCACCTAGGACCAAACACATCAACTGTGCCACTACAATGGTGACGACGGTCTCACCCAAAACAACGGTCATCTTGCCGTAGGCAAAGTATTTCTTGCCTGCGCTTCGTGGAAAACATATGTGAAGCTTTTCCAAGTGGCATGCCTGCGACTATTCATGACACCACATGTTTCAATCATTTCGATCGGTATTGTGTGGCTAAAACCTCAACAATAATGAGACCTGGGACCTGGGATGATGATTTCCTGCACATCTGCAAGCCTGAAAAGTCAAGACAGAACACCTCACACAAAGGTATGTGTTTACTTGCAAGATCCATGCTTGACTCCCCTGCCATACGCATCCACGCACTGTGCCACGATGTGCCACGGGCCTGTCTCTGGGTCGACACTCTTTGATGCATCGATGACGGTCGGATGAACGGCACGTGTGAACACGAAGAACACCTGAAACTCAACACATTCGAAGGCTGAGCTGGAACCCCAGCTGAAACCCCAATGTGCCAGGATGTGCCAGGCATGTTTGATAGATGAATTGATTGAATTGGCGGAGCTTCTCCTAAGAGTCAAAGGAACTCATTTCTGAGTGGCAGTTCCAACTTCAATTTCTCCAGAGTCTTGAAGGTCTGCAAATATCCACCAGAATCTTTGCACATAGTTGAGTCCAAAACCCCAAACAAAACCGCAAACAAACGATCAAAATCGATCAAAATTGTACCGCGTTTTTTCCGGAGAAATCCAAGGCGCAAAGAGCCCCACTTTCGCCAACGTGTCTCCAGCTCCACTGCCTTGACCTTTGAACTCCTGGTGGCTGGAAATCCTCTGGCAGTGTGCTTGTCATGGTCCAATGGTTTTCCGTGAACATATCTCATTATCTCATCACACATTAAAGATACAGTACCACTAGCTGTTAGAAAACGAAGTCACCATTCATTGAGCCATCTGAAAATTAGCTGTTCATAGCTGTTCAATGGGCGAGCACTCCCGTATCCACTATGAATCGAAGAACTGGTGGGAACAGGACATCTTCCCCCTGTCCTCGCCAGTGTAAGGCTTGTCCGCTGCTCGGGGTGGCATGGCGAAGGTGACTGGTGCTGAGCCCCTGGTTTTTCTCGTGTCTTTGAGCCGTGGGGCTGATTCACTCATATCATGAGAAAACCCCTGCAAATTGCCAAACGAGTGGATACACGGTCATAACGGATGATTTCCCGTGTTGAAGGGCAACATCGGTGAACATTGTTGGACGTCCCAGGGAATTGAACCTAGGGGTCAGTCGTTCACTCGTTCACTCGTTCACATCATGCTACAGTATTATAATATATTATAATCACTGGGCATATTGCAGAAGAGAACTGGAGATAGTAACTGACATGTGAGATCATATAGACATATATAGACTGGGTGTACTGTATCCCATTGAGCCATCACTTCCCCGCCAGGAATCTGATTCACATCCAAGGCATGAAACACCGACACCAGCCGCTGTGCACGGAAAGACATGTGAAGCTCCTGTCGGGCGGGCTGTTCTCGAAGGAACATGGCAGACCTAACCATATCCGATTCTGGTGACATGTCCTGTTTTATCCAGCAAGTTCTAGGTGTCATGGTCCAATTTCCCATCCAACAAAACATAGTCTCAAATACCGCACGCCAAAGTCCATGGTTGATTATCATGTCATTCCTGTTCTTCAATCATATTGCTATGTTTGGGTCTAGCCCTTTTCTCAACCGGCCATTGATAAACAAATGCAAACAACAGGGGGGTTCACACCCCGCATCCATTGTCGCTGGAAATCCCATCACACCTCCATTTTTTGCGCCAACAATATAACCAAAAGAATCCAAAAGATATTATATATATATAACTTAATGACTTAATGGTATAGATTTAAAGAAACACACTTTAAAATGTATATATATATGTCCCTTTTCTTAAACAAACGTTATCTATCCATAGATCAGCATAGATTGATGCATATGTGACTTTATTACTCTCTCTATATATATATATACAATCATATTTATATATATACACACACATTTTTTAATACACACTTATATAGATGCATACCCACACATAATATATTATATATAAATATATATATATATATACCCTTCCAAATAAACTAACATAGATATAGAAAGTCCATGTGGAAAACCCATGGTTTCCTGAGGACCTGATCTACACATTTTGGGATTCTCCAGCATCTCCGCTGCCTGTGCGAGGTGGTAGAAATCCTCCAACGACAAGGCACGGCCCGAAGCGCTGTCGAAGTCAACCACTTTCGAAGAAGGTTTCCTGGTGCAGAAGGATTTACAGTACCCTGTGGTTAATAATGGTTGGTATTATGATCATTGTAATTGTTAGTAATGAATAATAATGGACAATAATGGTATAATATGGTATATATATATATACTAATGCTATATTATCCCAATGGTGTATTTATAAAATATCAATGGCTATACTTTAACAATCAAACGTGGCCAGCTGGAAAAGTGTCCGAGCGAAATGGAGGTTCCAATGGGAAAATCATCTATAAGATTACCGGAGGGTAATCATCAACAATAGGGATTCTAGGGGATTTATGGGAGGTGCAGAATTGGAGATTTAGACGTCAAGAATAGGGATATTAATGAAATCTTAATGGGATATGATGGGGATCTATATCCAACAATGTCCACTTGGATGTGTCGGAAAATGCGGTATCCTATGGTATCCCCCAACATTGCTATTGAAAAACAGGAAAATGACAATAATCTCAATAAACCCACTGATTTAGGGGTACCTTATCTTCAAACAAACCCAGAACAGAAGGCTATGCACGTATTTGTTGATGTGTTACATGCACGAATTAGCTATGAGGCTTGGCCAATTATGGGGGGCTCCAAAATCCTCAAAATTGAAAATGTCCAACGGAACAACCCTGGAAAACCAATGGTTTGGGGTACCCCTAATTCAAGAAACACCCAACTCAACTGAAATCAAGCGTCTGGAAAGCCCCAAATCCTTCAAGCTCCGCCATATTTGCCGCCTCAGCTGAAAAAGGCGCAGCATCCACTTGTGCAGTGAAGAGTTTGACCTTTTTATGAAACCACCGAGTGATGAAATGATGGCAATGACGGCTATACTTCCAATAAGATCCCTGGCAACCTTCTTTCTAGAGAACTCACTTAGCCAATGGGTCTGAGAGAAAAGCTACAGGCAACGGCCATCCTGGCCACACGATCAGTCGCCGAAGGTGATCTTCCAGAGTCCAAAATCAACGAGTTGTGGTTTCGCTCTTGAATTTAGAATGGTGGCTTAGAAAGTATTTATGACTGTTTTAGCTATTATCAAATTACTTTCTGTTATCATTCTTGGATACTTATAATATATTATATACTAATACTGCTGTTCTTATTATGATTGTTGTTATGAGTTATAGTTATGACTGTTAGTATATGTTGGTATTAATTATTCATTAGTCTCATTAGACCATTGTTGTGATGGATGTGATGAAGACGATAAGGGATAATGATGCTGACTTCTCCAACTCAGGTCTCCACCTGTCTTGGTCACAGGAAGGCCGAAAGATCCGGCGAATTTTGGATAGAAACATCCGTGAGTTTTTTCGACAATGATCTGGGAATGGGTCAACAAAAAACCCTGTACCCTGATGAACATCATTTTTTAGCTGCTCAATGATTGTCAATGATTGTAAATGGATGTTCATCCGCCAAAAAAATGGTAGGTATTGATCCCAAGGGCATCCAAGCCCCTGAGATGGTGGTCTCATCAAAGATTGATTGTCACCGCATCCCAGAGCCTTGGACAGAAAAGCCCTGGGTCAGGGATCGATCAGCTTGGAAGGCTACCCAACAAATATCCAAAAATCAACAAACTCAGCAAAAATCCATGTTCTTTATGGTCCTTTCCCCAAATCACCAACTTCTAATTCTAATTCTGATGTAATATGATGCATATAATTCTGTAGGGAATGGAATCTTCACTATGCAACGGCAGTTTCTCTATCTCTCTTGCTCTGGGATTGAATTTCAGGAGCGGTTTTAAAAGTCGGCTACCTGGAATTTCTGAGGCGGAGAAATGTGGAGAACATCCGGGAATCATCATCTGCACCCCTGGAACAACCCTTCCATCTCTTTCCAAAAGGTTCCGTGAGTCCATTGGGCACAAAGGCTGACAGCAAGTCGGAGGCCGTGAGTGACTAGCCATCTGGGTCGAAACATTTCCAGAGGTGAAGCATTGGGGAACCACTGAACCCTTGTTTTCTAAAATGTCTTCCTTCCGTTCTCTCCAAACGGATGACAAGGCTATACTTCACTATACTTCCCCGCTACGTCCAATCTGCCAAGGCGCTCGTGTTCCCAGCCATGGTGACCCGTCCAGGTCGGGTCGCCACAGGCATCCCGGGAGACGCCGACATGCGGCTGAGAGTAACAGCTGCGGCTGACATCCGTCCAGACTAAGATCTAAGATCGACGGGATGGGATATGATGGGATTATAATGATGGATGCCGAATTCGGATGAGTTAGGTACACTACAGATTCTGGGCCCCACTTTCAAAGATCTTGCCCGAGTATAGGACGGAGCTTCGATGAGGCTCAAAGAAACCATGAAAAGAATCTGCAAATATCATGGCATGTCACATTATCAAAACATGGTACTAATATGTACTAATACCGTCATCATGCATCATAGCACCTATAGCACATCGGTATGTGATGCATTGTAGGATACTCCAGACCTGGTATCTGGGAATCCGATGGATCACTCGTGCGTTTTACGTCGGGAATGGATGGGACTGGGGGTTGCTGGGATGATTATTGATGATTATTGATAGTTATTGTGGATCATTCCCGAAAATTCCCTGCGTAAAACGCACCAGTAAGTAAAAAACCCATGAAACCACTAAGCTGTGCTGTAACGGCGCCTTGGTCCCACGGCCAAAAGGACGGGTCCGGCAATGCACCTCCGATGCGACCGTCAGTGCATCATCTCCCCGAAAGGATCAAACATGGCTTTTGACAAGATGGTCATCTAATGTCATCTACAAAGAACTCTGCCGGCCAGTAAAACAACAAAACCATGCAAAACCATGCAAAACCCATTCAACTTTTTGCGTTCACCCCGCACTGGCGTCTACGGTGCTCTGCCAACCATGGGCCAATTGCCAGGTCAGAGACCCAGAAACATCTCTCTCTTGGTGTCTCTCTTTCCATCTTGCGATCCTGGTGGTGGTTAGGTCAAGTCCAAAAAATTATGTACGGTTGTTCTGGATCAAAGGCCTCTCATGGTTAAGTCAGACTGTATGTACCGGCACATGGGTTGCACTGAAGAGATTGGAGTGGAAAGGCTGGCTTTGAGCAGCGCTTGCTCTCTGTGGGTAGGACGGCTGGGAAAAAAAAAACAACAGCACGATACAGCACGGCAGTTGTAGATGTTTTGGTTCATGCTGTCTGCAGACTCTGCTCACGTTTCATCAGTTCATCAGTATTTACCAAAAGTTCAATCAAAAATAAATCAACACATGCTATATGAGCGATTGTGAAAACCCTAGGTTCACGGAAAAGACATCCACAAATTTGGGAAGATCCCATCGCTTACCACACGTTTGTACAATAATGATATATGGTAAACTTGGGGGGTATCGCTTGCAGGAAGCTGCTGCATTTATATATATATATATGTGATGAACCATGAATAATATGTGATATTTGGGTATCGCTAATGTGGATATTAGAGAAATATGATGACATAACCTTGAAAAGGGGTATCGCTAATTTGGGAAGGTCCCATCGCTTACCTCGTGTTTGTAACAATTTCCATCAATTTCCATAAACCAATGTCCGTCGAATACATATTTAGTATTGCCGGGGTTTTTACGGTTGCTCATATACATGCTATATACTATATGACATTATTGTATCATATCATTGAAATTTCTCGCGACTTAACATCACTTCCATCAAATCGTGCCCGCCCTCTCTATGTGGCGCTGTGGCCACTCCGAGCTTTGAAACGCCCAGGAAAATGCTCAGCAGCTCCGCTGAACTGACACAACGTAAATCAACCGACCGAGGCAAGAGCTAAAGTTGGCAAATGTGGACTCTAAATGACCACCACGGAAGATTCTTGGGCCTGTGCTGCGGTTGCAAAGCCCAGACGCTTCTTGCCCCAGTCGAACTGGACATAGTACTTGCGCATGAACACGTCACCCAAGATCCACAAAGGACCACGGGGTGGAGGCACGTCAAGACCAGTGAGTCCCAAAATGCACTGAGAACCCGATGCTTGCAGGATCAAATCTGCCTGCTTCAAAGTGTAGTCCTTGCCACCCAGGGTGAATATGAGGTCTGGCAACTTGGCACTGCAGTCCACCACATACTCCCTGCCCAAGACGGACTTGGCTCCAAGCTTTGTTGCAATCTTGGAGATCTCCGACTTGGGTCCTGCCAAGAGGGAAGTACCAGAATCCACAATGGCACTCTTGGTGCTGGAGACGGAGTCTGATCCCAGCTTCACGCCGTCCAAGTTGATCTCCCAGTAGGACTCAGAGCTCAAAGGAACGAAGGAGAAGCTTCCGGTGTAGTGCTTGGGATCAACACCTCCAAAGACCAACTCACCTGGCTGCTTGTTGCCAAGATAGAATGCAAAGACTGGCTCAGGCAACTGGCCAGATTGCACCAAGGCATTCATAGGTGTTGGCACATGTCCCACCGAGATGGAATCCCATCCCAGCCCCAGGATGCCGTCGAACTTGCCAAGACGATATCCCAAGCCCAAGCCAGACGTCTTGTCAACCTCTGCAAAGGTGTAGTCCTGCAACTTCAAGTCACCAATGGTCACAGTGTCGGCTGAGAAAACACCAGACACAGGACCAGACCCATACTGAATGGCAAAGGTGGTGCCATTCTTCTTGTAGGTCGAGGACTTCGAGTGATCGTAGATGTTCTTCCGAGACAGGAATGGCTTGGTGTTTGGCACCCACAAGTTTGCAGATCCAGTGTCAAAAATCACCATCTCCTTCTGGCCAGGTGTGCCCACGGAAATCTCTCCGTAGTACTGGGCGTTCTGGTAGTCGTCAATCACAATGGGGTCATCCTTGCCACCATCCAAACGGGCCTCCCACCTCTCAGCACCCTGGTGAATGGCATCCACGGTCTGCTCGTAGGTCAGGTCGCGCTTGGTCAATGGCATCTTGACAACCGTGGCCTGTGCTGCGGTTGCAAAACCTAAACGCTTCTTGCCCCAGTCGAACTGGACATAGTACTTGCGCATGAACACGTCACCCAAGATCCACAAAGGACCACGGGGTGGAGGCACATCGAGACCAGTGAGTCCCAAAATGCACTGAGAACCCGATGCTTGCAGGATCAAATCTGCCTGCTTCAAAGTGTAGTCCTTGCCACCCAGGGTGAATGTGAGGTCTGGCAACTTGGCACTGCAGTCCACCACATACTCCCTGCCCAAGACGGACTTGGCTCCAAGCTTTGTTGCAATCTTGGAGATCTCCGACTTGGGTCCTGCCAAGAGGGAAGTACCAGAATCCACAATGGCACTCTTGGTGCTGGAGACGGAGTCTGATCCCAGCTTCACGCCGTCCAAGTTGATCTCCCAGTAGGACTCAGAGCTCAAAGGAACGAAGGAGAAGCTTCCGGTGTAGTGCTTGGGATCAACACCTCCAAAGACCAACTCACCTGGCTGCTTGTTGCCAAGATAGAATGCAAAGACTGGCTCAGGCAACTGGCCAGATTGCACCAAGGCATTCATAGGTGTTGGCACATGTCCCACCGAGATGGAATCCCATCCCAGCCCCAGGATGCCGTCGAACTTGCCAAGACGATATCCCAAGCCCAAGCCAGACGTCTTGTCAACCTCTGCAAAGGTGTAGTCCTGCAACTTCAAGTCACCAATGGTCACAGTGTCGGCTGAGAAAACACCAGACACAGGACCAGACCCATACTGAATGGCAAAGGTGGTGCCATTCTTCTTGTAGGTCGAGGACTTCGAGTGATCGTAGATGTTCTTCCGAGACAGGAATGGCTTGGTGTTTGGCACCCACAAGTTTGCAGATCCAGTGTCAAAAATAACCATCTCCTTCTGGCCAGGTGTGCCCACGGAAATCTCTCCGTAGTACTGGGCGTTCTGGTAGTCGTCAATCACAATGGGGTCATCCTTGCCACCATCCAAACGGGCCTCCCACCTCTCAGCACCCTGGTGAATGGCATCCACGGTCTGCTCGTAGGTCAGGTCGCGCTTGGTCAATGGCATCTTGACAACCGTGGCCTGTGCTGCGGTTGCAAAACCTAAACGCTTCTTGCCCCAGTCAAACTGGACATAGTACTTGCGCATGAACACATCACCCAAGATCCACAAAGGACCACGGGGTGGAGGCACATCAAGACCAGTGAGTCCCAAAATGCACTGAGAACCCGATGCTTGCAGGATCAAATCTGCCTGCTTCAAAGTGTAGTCCTTGCCACCCAGGGTGAATGTGAGGTCTGGCAACTTGGCACTGCAGTCCACCACATACTCCCTGCCCAAGACGGACTTGGCTCCAAGCTTTGTTGCAATCTTGGAGATCTCCGACTTGGGTCCTGCCAAGAGAGAAGTACCAGAATCCACAATGGCACTCTTGGTGCTGGAGACGGAGTCTGATCCCAGCTTCACGCCGTCCAAGTTGATCTCCCAGTAGGACTCAGAGCTCAAAGGAACGAAGGAGAAGCTTCCGGTGTAGTGCTTGGGATCAACACCTCCAAAGACCAACTCACCTGGCTGCTTGTTGCCAAGGTAGAATGCAAAGACTGGCTCAGGCAACTGGCCAGATTGCACCAAGGCATTCATAGGTGTTGGCACATGTCCCACCGAGATGGAATCCCATCCCAGCCCCAGGATGCCGTCGAACTTGCCAAGACGATATCCCAAGCCCAAGCCAGACGTCTTGTCAACCTCTGCAAAGGTGTAGTCCTGCAACTTCAAGTCACCAATGGTCACAGTGTCGGCTGAGAAAACACCAGATACAGGACCAGACCCATACTGAATGGCAAAGGTGGTGCCATTCTTCTTGTAGGTCGAGGACTTCGAGTGATCGTAGATGTTCTTCCGAGACAGGAATGGCTTGGTGTTTGGCACCCACAAGTTTGCAGATCCAGTGTCAAAAATCACCATCTCCTTCTGGCCAGGTGTGCCCACGGAAATCTCTCCGTAGTACTGGGCGTTCTGGTAGTCGTCAATCACAATGGGGTCATCCTTGCCACCATCCAAACGGGCCTCCCACCTCTCAGCACCCTGGTGAATGGCATCCACGGTCTGCTCGTAGGTCAGGTCGCGCTTGGTCAATGGCACATTGACAACTTGTGCCGCAGCAACTGCTAACACAGCAGCAGCTGCAAGCTTGCGAAGACTCGACATGGTATCTCCTTTCAGGGATCAAGCGAGCCATGAAAACATATCATTTTACTTGTTATATATACTACTGGTTGGTCAGTAAATGTTCCTATTATGGGTTTGGATACTGTAATCTCCAATAAGCCACTTGGATCCAGTTAGTATAACACCCCTTACCATCCTTTACCCCTCAATACTTGAGGCCGGGGGTGGATGACGAAAGCTAGCGGGGTAGGAGAAAGAAGGAAGGGAAGAGGTGAGTTGCGGAGGGACTGTCATCATCGTGTCGCGGCACTGTTCGTACCAACGAGGATGCAACAAGGATATATTGATATATGATATATAACAATGATATATATGGGGGAGGGGGCAGGGGGGGGCCCTTTCGCGGGAAAAATCACGTGATGTCCTTGGGGAGCCCCGGAATACGTGCTAAAGCAAGAAGACTCTAGCGAGCTGACACTAGCTTTCGTGATAATGACAATAATTGCCAATAATGATAAAATGTAATTGAATAACGATGATGATGATGATGACGATGATGATGATGATGAATGATGAATGATGAATGATGAATGATGAATGATGAATGATGAATGATGAATGATGATGATGATGATGACGACGAGGATGATGATGATGATGATGACGATGACAATGACGATGACGAGGACGATGACGAGGACGACGACGACGACGACGACGACGACGACGACGATGATGATGATGATGATGACGATGACGAGGACGAGGACGAGGACGATGGAGAGGACGATGACGATGATGATGACGATGATGATGACGATGATGATGACGATGATGATGACGATGATGATGATGATGATGGTGGTGATGGTGGTGGTGGTGGGGGAGGGGGGGGGCCCCCTTTCGCGTGAAAAATCACGTGATGTCCTTGAGCAGCCCCCCCAATACTTGCTAAAGCAAGAAGACTCCAGCTAGCTGACGCTAGCTTTCGTGATTAACGCATCAACCGATCATTTCTTAATGGTTCAAGTAAACACATCTTAGAAAGTCCACTCTGCAAACGCAGAAACTATTCATGTCATCTGAAGCACAAAAAACAGGCGCGGTAAACATCATGTGGGCCCGTCGGATTCATGCAGGAATTGCCCTTTCAACTTGTTGCATTTTAGCAAGTGGCCCATTTTTTGAAGAGTTTTCTGGAAAAATCTGGAGAAACATCAGCCCAAGGGCTTCCCCAGGTTCAAGAAATGATTGACACATCCACAGTACCCTTCCTGTTGACGCCAAGGGCCACACAAATCCCAACCCACAGTTGAGATCAACAAATGACTCTGAGAGGAAATGTCACCGGTCTCTTCAAGCACTGCTTTGCTCAACTGATCAATCATCATCAATCACATCAATGACATTCAATGACCATCATCAGTCATCATGCACTTAAACCCTGCGTTTTTTGTGCAACTCTGACTGTCTGCTGAACAAGTTTCACTCGACATGTTGCAAGGGTCCCAACCTGGAACGACCTTTGAGATCGCTAGGCCCCAGGTGAAACACCTGGGTAGCTTGCGAAAGAATAGCCAGAAGAAAGCTGATCCCCGACCCCCCTGAATTCTTCAAGACATCTATGCATTTCAAGGCGCAGTGAAAACACTGAACAAGGCAGCATAGTGAAAAGATGTGAGCGGAAAAGAACACATGCAATGAAAAACCCTGTTGACCTGGTGGTTACACTCCTGTGATCCAACTCGGCAAGGGCCGTGGATCGCTCTGTGCCCCATTTGATCCCAAAGGCCCATCTTATCTGCACAAGACTGGAGCTTTCTATCGCTAGATTAGAGTACTACGCGGTACAGTACGGCGAATGGGGCCTGGATGGTCTTGACATCTCCGTAAGATGATTTTCCCATTGGGGTCAGCCCTGCCCCCAGCAGAAGCCGCATAGCTCCGCCCAGGGGGGTTTCTCCTGAATTCCTGACATCTGCAGGAGGAAGAGGTTGTTCCCCACTTGCCCGGTGAGGGGCTCTAGATTTTATCAGGATTGCTTCCGCCCCCCTCCGTCTTCTCCTTCTCCTCCTTCCTACTTCTTCTCCTTCTTTTCCTTCTCCTCCTTCTTCTGCTTCCTCTCCTTCTTCTCCTTCTCCTTTGGCAGCCTCGGGCTACGCCCTAAACTGCGAACGCCCGATCTCAGTGGGCACTGCCGGACCTCAACCGCTGTCAGTTGGCACTGCCGTACCTCAACCGCGAGCGCCAGATCTCAGTGGGCACTGCTGGACCTCAACTGCGAGAGCCAGATCTCAGTGGGCACTGCGGGACCTCAATTGCGAGCGCAAGATGTCACATAGAATGTCAGATAGAATGCCAGAAGAGATGTCAGATAGAATGCCTGATAAGATGTCAGAATATATGCCAGATCGAATGCCAGATAGAATGTCAGAATATATGTCAGATGGAATGCTGTACAGATAGAATGTCAGAATATGTGTCAGATAGAATGCCAAAATATATGTCAGGTAGATGCCAGCTTGAATGTCAGAATAGATATGTTAGATAGAATTTCAGTTGGTAGGGGTCACTCGAAGAAAACATGTTTGCAGTTTGCTGATTATTGATGATATTCTTATGTGCATGGATACGAGTGTCCCTCCCATTTCACAGTGCCCGTAAACTTTTCAAATACCATATATCAAAAACGACTGGCTGAAAAAAGATCCCACCAGACATGTTTTATCCAAGAAACATAATATAAAGAAACCGTGCCTGTGGCCACGGGAGGATCTCGGGATCGAAACATGGGCACCTGATCACCGAAGGCATGCAACATTCTGCATGGAAACCAAATCCAATAATGGAGTCAAAATGTTTGATGATTAATACATGTTAATACCACCCATTTCTGGTGATATTGGGGATGGTGTTTTTCCATGTTTTTCCGAGGTTACCACATTATCTCCGGAAACCAAAAAGTATTAAACATCCAGAAGATTCCAGAAGCGACAACTTGCGCACATCTGCAGGCAAGAAAGTCTGTTGCAAAGCCATCTTTTTGGCTCTCACCCTGCGATAGTGTCTACCACGCTCTGTCAACCACGGGCCAAATGCCGGGTCAGAGGTCCAGAGACAGTTGCACTTATTCTGTGTACTGATGACATCTGATGACAAGGGTGTGTCTGTCACGAGGACCAACCAAGTGGATCCAAATGTTTCTGGCTACGTGTTTGGGCCTTGCACGGCGCGAGAAGCAAGCAATACATCCTCGCGATATCTTGCAATATCTTGCAATCTCGTGCAATCCTTGCAGAATGGCGCCAAGTCAACCAAGTTTGAAAAGAAAACAGGAAAGTGGTGCAGTTCTTGACTATGTTTCTCTCCCTCTCTCTCTCTCTCTCTCCATAATCATAATCCTTAAGATCCTGATTGTGATAAGGTTCAAGTCAACTAAGTCAAAAAAAAACAGCTGTTCTGGACCAAAGGCCTCTCATGGTTAGTCAGACTGTATCCGCCAGCACACAGGTTGCACTGGCAGAAATTGGAGTGAGCAATGCGCTTGCCCTCCCTTGGGTAGGACGGCAAAGACAAACAAAATTGCAGTATGGCACTTGTAGTTCACACTTAATTGTCAAGCTCTCTATGCCCTATGCATTTGCATGCTGATCAAGTTATCCCATGTCAAAATAAAAAGAAAGACACCACCAACTTATATAACAGTGTTTAACTTCAAGTCGATCAAATCATCAAATCGTACCCACCCTGTGGCACTGTGGCCACTCCGAGCCATTAAACCCCCTAGTCATTGATGCTCAGCAGTTCCGCTGAACTGACACAACGTAAATCAGCCAACCGAGGCAAGAGCTAAAGTTGGCAAAGTGGACTCTAAATGACCACCACGGAAGATTCTTGGGCCTGTGCTGCGGTTGCAAAGCCCAAACGCTTCTTGCCCCAGTCAAACTGGACATAGTACTTGCGCATGAACACATCACCCAAGATCCACAAAGGACCACGGGGTGGAGGCACATCAAGACCAGTGAGTCCCAAAATGCACTGAGAACCCGATGCTTGCAGGATCAAATCTGCCTGCTTCAGAGTGTAGTCCTTGCCACCCAGGGTGAATGTGAGGTCTGGCAACTTGGCACTGCAGTCCACCACATACTCCCTGCCCAAGACGGACTTGGCTCCAAGCTTTGTTGCAATCTTGGAGATCTCCGACTTGGGTCCTGCCAAGAGGGAAGTACCAGAATCCACAATGGCACTCTTGGTGCTGGAGACGGAGTCTGATCCCAGCTTCACGCCGTCCAAGTTGATCTCCCAGTAGGACTCAGAGCTCAAAGGAACGAAGGAGAAGCTTCCGGTGTAGTGCTTGGGATCAACACCTCCAAAGACCAACTCACCTGGCTGCTTGTTGCCAAGGTAGAATGCAAAGACTGGCTCAGGCAACTGGCCAGATTGCACCAAGGCATTCATAGGTGTTGGCACATGTCCCACCGAGATGGAATCCCATCCTAGCCCCAGGATGCCGTCGAACTTGCCAAGACGATATCCCAAGCCCAAGCCAGACGTCTTGTCAACCTCTGCAAAGGTGTAGTCCTGCAACTTCAAGTCACCAATGGTCACAGTGTCGGCTGAGAAAACACCAGACACAGGACCAGACCCATACTGAATGGCAAAGGTGGTGCCATTCTTCTTGTAGGTCGAGGACTTCGAGTGATCGTAGATGTTCTTCTGAGACAGGAATGGTTTGGTGTTTGGCACTCACAAGTTTGCAGATCCAGTGCCAAAAATCACCATCTCCTTCTGGCCAGGTGTGCCCACGGAAATCTCTCCGTAGTACTGGGCGTTCTGGTAGTCGTCAATCACAATGGGGTCATCCTTGCCACCATCCAAACGGGCCTCCCACCTCTCAGCACCCTGGTGAACGGCTGCCACGGTCTGCTCGTAGGTCAGGTCGCGCTTGGTCAATGGCATCTTGACAACCGTGGCCTGTGCTGCGGTTGCAAAACCTAAACGCTTCTTGCCCCAGTCGAACTGGACATAGTACTTGCGCATGAACACGTCACCCAAGATCCACAAAGGACCACGGGGTGGAGGCACATCAAGACCAGTGAGTCCCAAAATGCACTGAGAACCCGATGCTTGCAGGATCAAATCTGCCTGCTTCAGAGTGTAGTCCTTGCCACCCAGGGTGAATGTGAGGTCTGGCAACTTGGCACTGCAGTCCACCACATACTCCCTGCCCAAGACGGACTTGGCTCCAAGCTTTGTTGCAATCTTGGAGATCTCCGACTTGGGTCCTGCCAAGAGCGAAGTACCAGAATCCACAATGGCACTCTTGGTGCTGGAGACGGAGTCTGATCCCAGCTTCACGCCGTCCAAGTTGATCTCCCAGTAGGACTCAGAGCTCAAAGGAACGAAGGAGAAGCTTCCGGTGTAGTGCTTGGGATCAACACCTCCAAAGACCAACTCACCTGGCTGCTTGTTGCCAAGGTAGAATGCAAAGACTGGCTCAGGCAACTGGCCAGATTGCACCAAGGCATTCATAGGTGTTGGCACATGTCCCACCGAGATGGAATCCCATCCTAGCCCCAGGATGCCGTCGAACTTGCCAAGACGATATCCCAAGCCCAAGCCAGACGTCTTGTCAACCTCTGCAAAGGTGTAGTCCTGCAACTTCAAGTCACCAATAGTCACGGTGTCGGCTGAGAAAACACCAGACACAGGACCAGACCCATACTGAATGGCAAAGGTGGTGCCATTCTTCTTGTAGGTCGAGGACTTCGAGTGATCGTAGATGTTCTTCTGAGACAGGAATGGTTTGGTGTTTGGCACCCACAGGTTTGCAGATCCAGTGTCAAAAATCACCATCTCCTTCTGGCCAGGTGTGCCCACGGAAATCTCTCCGTAGTACTGGGCGTTCTGGTAGTCGTCAATCACAATGGGGTCATCCTTGCCACCATCCAAACGGGCCTCCCACCTCTCAGCACCCTGGTGAATGGCTGCCACGGTCTGCTCGTAGGTCAGGTCGCGCTTGGTCAATGGCATCTTGACAACCGTGGCCTGTGCTGCGGTTGCAAAACCTAAACGCTTCTTGCCCCAGTCAAACTGGACATAGTACTTGCGCATGAACACATCACCCAAGATCCACAAAGGACCACGGGGTGGAGGCACATCAAGACCAGTGAGTCCCAAAATGCACTGAGAACCCGATGCTTGCAGGATCAAATCTGCCTGCTTCAAAGTGTAGTCCTTGCCACCCAGGGTGAATGTGAGGTCTGGCAACTTGGCACTGCAGTCCACCACATACTCCCTGCCCAAGACGGACTTGGCTCCAAGCTTTGTTGCAATCTTGGAGATCTCCGACTTGGGTCCTGCCAAGAGGAAGTACCAGAATCCACAATGGCACTCTTGGTGCTGGAGACGGAGTCTGATCCCAGCTTCACGCCGTCCAAGTTGATCTCCCAGTAGGACTCAGAGCTCAAAGGAACGAAGGAGAAGCTTCCGGTGTAGTGCTTGGGATCAACACCTCCAAAGACCAACTCACCTGGCTGCTTGTTGCCAAGGTAGAATGCAAAGACTGGCTCAGGCAACTGGCCAGATTGCACCAAGGCATTCATAGGTGTTGGCACATGTCCCACCGAGATGGAATCCCATCCCAGCCCCAGGATGCCGTCGAACTTGCCAAGACGATATCCCAAGCCCAAGCCAGACGTCTTGTCAACCTCTGCAAAGGTGTAGTCCTGCAACTTCAAGTCACCAATAGTCACGGTGTCGGCTGAGAAAACACCAGACACAGGACCAGACCCATACTGAATGGCAAAGGTGGTGCCATTCTTCTTGTAGGTCGAGGACTTCGAGTGATCGTAGATGTTCTTCTGAGACAGGAATGGTTTGGTGTTTGGCACCCACAGGTTTGCAGATCCAGTGTCAAAAATCACCATCTCCTTCTGGCCAGGTGTGCCCACGGAAATCTCTCCGTAGTACTGGGCGTTCTGGTAGTCGTCAATCACAATGGGGTCATCCTTGCCACCATCCAAACGGGCCTCCCACCTCTCAGCACCCTGGTGAATGGCTGCCACGGTCTGCTCGTAGGTCAGGTCGCGCTTGGTCAATGGCATCTTGACAACCGTGGCCTGTGCTGCGGTTGCAAAACCTAAACGCTTCTTGCCCCAGTCGAACTGGACATAGTACTTGCGCATGAACACGTCACCCAAGATCCACAAAGGACCACGGGGTGGAGGCACATCAAGACCAGTGAGTCCCAAAATGCACTGAGAACCCGATGCTTGCAGGATCAAATCTGCCTGCTTCAGAGTGTAGTCCTTGCCACCCAGGGTGAATGTGAGGTCTGGCAACTTGGCACTGCAGTCCACCACATACTCCCTGCCCAAGACGGACTTGGCTCCAAGCTTTGTTGCAATCTTGGAGATCTCCGACTTGGGTCCTGCCAAGAGCGAAGTACCAGAATCCACAATGGCACTCTTGGTGCTGGAGACGGAGTCTGATCCCAGCTTCACGCCGTCCAAGTTGATCTCCCAGTAGGACTCAGAGCTCAAAGGAACGAAGGAGAAGCTTCCGGTGTAGTGCTTGGGATCAACACCTCCAAAGACCAACTCACCTGGCTGCTTGTTGCCAAGGTAGAATGCAAAGACTGGCTCAGGCAACTGGCCAGATTGCACCAAGGCATTCATAGGTGTTGGCACATGTCCCACCGAGATGGAATCCCATCCCAGCCCCAGGATGCCGTCGAACTTGCCAAGACGATATCCCAAGCCCAAGCCAGACGTCTTGTCAACCTCTGCAAAGGTGTAGTCCTGCAACTTCAAGTCACCAATAGTCACGGTGTCGGCTGAGAAAACACCAGACACAGGACCAGACCCATACTGAATGGCAAAGGTGGTGCCATTCTTCTTGTAGGTCGAGGACTTCGAGTGATCGTAGATGTTCTTCTGAGACAGGAATGGTTTGGTGTTTGGCACCCACAAGTTTGCAGATCCAGTGTCAAAAATCACCATCTCCTTCTGGCCAGGTGTGCCCACGGAAATCTCTCCGTAGTACTGGGCGTTCTGGTAGTCATCAATCACAATGGGGTCATCCTTGCCACCATCCAAACGGGCCTCCCACCTCTCAGCACCCTGGTGAACGGCTGCCACGGTCTGCTCGTAGGTCAGGTCGCGCTTGGTCAATGGCACATTGACAACTTGTGCCGCAGCAACCGCTAACACAGCAGCAGCTGCGATCCTGAGAAGGTTCGACATGCTATCTCCTTGCAGGGATCAAGTGAATTCATCCTGTAATGAGGACTTCTCTCCACTCTGAAACGGCTCAAGATATCCCTATGTACCACATCAGGTGTTATTTGACTCTCGAGGAAGCAAGTGTTTAGTATTGTGGGACTCCGTGTCATTTCCACATGTGTCTTTTTGGAAATTTGATCAGCAAATCCACCGTACCCCGCTCCTGCTGGCACCAGGGGCCAGTCAAATCTCCTCTTCTCACAGTGGAGCTCAGCAAATGACTCTGAGAGGAAATGTCACCGGGACAAGAGTCAGCAGAGTCATGCAAAGGTCTCTTCAACATGTTTTCACTTAGCTGATCGGTATGCATCAATCACATCCAAGAGCAAACGATCTCTAGAAAAATTTCAACTTCAATATGTTTCTGCAAGGCAAGATGCCTTCCATGGTTCCAAGATGGGTCTGGGTGATGCTTAAAAATGGTCACCCAAAATATGAAAAAAACACCTGGGCACCCCGCGGCGCGGTTGGCCAAATGGTTGGCAGCAAATCTTTGCTTGAAACAGCCTGCAGTCAAGACTTCATGTTGTGCAATTTCCAGGGTGAGGGTGGCAATGATGGGAAAAAATTGTTGTCACCCACACAATGACAATGAGAAGGAAGAGTGGTACTACCAGCAACAAAATAGTAATAATAACTAATAGCCGCAATGAAAAATATAACACAATTTTTAAAGTATGTTTGATAAAACAAAACATCATCACAATCATCATCAATAAATATCAACAATATGTTTTTGTATTTGGTTGATCATGATTGTTGAGGCAGCAGCCGTCCAGCCAAGTGACGAAAGCAACAGAAATTCCTTGGCACGCGAGGTGTGGGCGGGGTGGGGCATCGGCGCACAAACACACACACGTCGTAGCATTTGTGACGTGCACTATATATTCATAGTTGGTCACGAACAAATGGCACATGGACTGCGCAGGATGAAATGGCATATCGACCAAATGTCAAAAAACAAATATGATGGCATTTGAACCGGTGGATTTCCCAGAGGGTGCCATCTTAGTGTTGCTTAATGAATAGGAATAGCATAGTCACCGCCAGCGTCAAGGAATTTTAAGATATACCACTATATATATATATATAAATAAACAAATAATGCATATTGAAATATTATATAATATAATTCACATTATATATATATATATTTGTGTGTACCACATATTATGTACATATATAAATATAAATACATATACAACATAGTATGTAAATATATATATATATACCAATATATGTGATATAAATATATATTTATATATCATGTATATATGTATATATGTATATATGTATATATATATATATATCATTTTTATATATATGTCATATAAATATGTATTATATCATATATTAAATATAAATATAAATATATATATATATCATACATATATATATATACCACATAGTATATATATATCACATTTATATATACCCCGCATAGTATATATATATATATCAAATATATTTAACATACATATATTTATATATCATATAAATAATATATCATATATATATAATATATAAAATATATATTATATATATAATATTATGTATAATATATATAATATAAATATATAATATATAATATATATAATATATATAATATATATAATATATATAATATATATAATATATATAATATATATAATAATATATATATATATCATATATATATATAAATAAATATATCATATATATATATATATCATATATATAATCATAAATATATATATATAACATATATATATATATCATATATATATATATAAATAAATATATCATATATATATATCATATAAATATATATATCATATGTATATTTATATATATAATATATAGATATCTATTATATATAAATAACAATTTATCACATAGTGTATTGATATATATATATATTTCATATAGTGTTTATATAGTCTATACAGCCAACATGTATATAAAGTATGGCTAAGCTAAATAGTAGTTTCATATGTTTGCATTGGATATGTGCAATGTCTGTGACTTGTGCATGCTGCTAATTTCACAACGTACTTGCAAATGGCTAAGGGTCAAAATCTGAAAAAGGCCCCCGACAACAAATGTGTGGCGCGTGTAATGAATTAAACATGGCGTGAAATTATCCTTTTTGGTGGGTTTACAATTGATTGAAACCGTATATGAAAACTCTTTCTGTTGACGGTCCCGTAATGAGATTGACTAAGTTGGAAATAGTTGGAGATTAAGTAATTTGACTTACCTTCTGGTAAACGTTTACATAACGAACTGGAAAATCACCATGCTATGTAGCTGGGTAAATCCACTATGTCAATGGTTAACCGAGGCCTGGCCATCGATCTGCAGAAGCTCCGGCCCTTTTCGTGTGACCGCAGAAGTCTGTGCTCAAGACGTGCACGATGTGCCTCGAGTGATGTTAGGCGAGGCCTGCCAACCAGATATATCGACGTATATATATATATATACCAACCAAATATACCAACCATATATTTATATAATGTATATATATATATATATCCTGCCAATCAGAACTTAATGAAGTAGAAAAGGTGAAGACTGAACATCTTAGAATTTTAAACATGTCCTGTGGCAAATAGCTTGTCCAAAATGGGGGACCCCGCACTCCCTCAAAACTCGCCCCTCATTATCACCACTGCTGGTGATATCACTTTGTATCGTGAATTCAAATGCATTCACCTGTCTTCCCCGGGACACCGTATTGACGTATTGTTTTGAATGAACCCTCTCTCTATATATATATAGTATAGAATATAAATATATATTTATATATTTATCTTTTTTAGCTAGTTATTTATTTACTTATTCATATACTGATCATGTAGTGATTCATATGACATACTGCTTCCTATAACATATAACATACAAATAAATCATATGCCATTGCTTTATCATAGGACACCTCGTTCTTCCATGTTGGTATATTATCAATATGTTGATTCCCATCACAAAATTTGGATCTGGATGGCATGGGCTGCTGAATGCTGCTGATCCTGCCAACGGCAGGCGTTCCACGTACAGTAATTACTGTGCAAAAAATGGGACGAGCTGTATGTGTCATGAATTCTGATATGATATGAAGCATTGAGCCAGAGCCAAAGCCATGATTGACATATACATATATATATATATATATATGTGCATATGTTATTTTTAAATAAAACAGTTCCAGAAGTGATTTCAGCATCACTAAGTACGTTTACCTGTGCTTGCCAAGGTCTTTGAATCCGAAATCTACGATTGCACGCCTGGACGGTGGTTGTTGCTGAAGGTTCCAACTAATCCCATTTTTCAAGCCGAGTGCGCTGGTGCCAGCATGCCAGACTAAAATAAGGTATAATACTGTATTCTTTCAGAAAGGCACCACAATGAAAAGGAAAAACATGGGCAAAACCCAGGCCAACGTTCATATCTATCTATCTGTCCATCCATCTATCCATCCATCCATCCATCGATCCATCTATCCATCTATCCATCGATCATCATCGACCATCATCGATCCATCGATCCATCGATACATCTATCGATCTATCTATCTAATCTAATCTATTCTATTCTAGTCTATTCTATTCTCTTCTATTCTATCTATCGGTCTATCTATCTATCTATCTATCTATCCATCTATCTATCTATCTATCTAGCCTATCTAATCTATCTAATCTATCTAATCTATCTAATCTATCCAATCTATCTACTCTATCTAATCTATCTAATCTATCCAATCTATCTAATCTATCTAATCTATCTAATCTATCTAATCGATCTAATAAATCGATTTCATTAATCGGTCTAATCGATCTAATTAATCGATCTAATCGATCTAACCGATCTTAGCGATCTAATCGATCTAATCCATCTAATCGATCTAGCCGATCACTAATCGATCTAATCGATCTACTGTAATCGATCTAATCGATCAAATCGATCAAATCGATGTAATCGATCTAATCAATCTAATCGATCTAATCTATCTATCTTTATATCCATCCATCCATCCATCCATCCGTTCATCTATCCCATTCATCTATCTTATCTACCTTATCTATCTTATCTTATCTTATCCTATCTATCTGTCTATCTTATCTTACCTTACCTTACCTTATCTTATCCTATCCTATCCTATCTATCTATCTATCCCTCTCTCTTTCTAATCTAATCTAATGAAATCTATTTAATCTAATCTAATCTAATCTAATCTAATAATCTAATCTAACCTAACCTAATACTGCAATCTAATCTATCTGTCTATCTACCTATCAATCTAACTAACCATCGATCTATCGATCTGTTGATTCATCGTTCTGTTCTGTTCTGTTCAATTCTATTCTATTCTATCTAATCTATCCATCTATCGTTCTAATTCTTTCTGTCTGTCTGTCTGTCAGTCTGTCTGTCAGTCTGTCTTTCTGTCTATATCACCACCCTTTTCACCCCCCTGGTGTGCCCCACCCAAGTTTGGAAGATATATTCCATGTCAAACCATGCCATGTCAAATCCATGTTTGTAACAATATCACGCAAACAAAATAATAGTAGGTGCTTGTCAACGTTTTGGTTGCGTAGGAGGCTGATCTTTTCAGAATTTCCGAGGGGTCACCCTCCCTTGGAAATTCCAGGCTCTAGTGGGTAGCGGTCTGTCTGTCTATCTGTGTCTATCTGTGTCGATCTGCGTCTATATGTGTCTCTATATGTCTATCTGTGTTTATCTGTGTCTATCTACGTCTATCTGTGTCGATCTGTGTCTATATGTGTCCATATGTGTCTATATGTGTCTCTATATGTCTATCTGTGTCTATCTATGCCCATCTATATCAATCTATATCTATACATCTATATCTATCTATCTGTTTGTCTACCTATATAATCTTAAAAACCTATCTATGTACACAATGTTCGCGCATGTTTCATCAAGAGATGCTGGCAACCAACTCATCTGCCATACCCAAAGCGATGCCCTGCGCCGACGTACCGTCGCCCAGCGTTTGTCTTCGCAGTTGCACGCACAAAGCCTTGGATTCCCTGCACCCCTGCTGGCTGGCATACATATGTATCTACATATGTACACATAGACACACACACACACACACATGCATGCATGCATACATACATACATACATACAAACATACATACATACTTGCATTACATTTCACTATTACATTACATTACATTGCATTACATTACATTACATTACATACATACATATATATATATATAACATAACATAACATTACATAACATTACATAACATTACATTACATTACATTACATTGGCATACATTACATTAACATACATTACATTAACATACATTGCATTAACATACATTGCATTACATTACATTGCATTGCATTACATTGCATTACATACATACATAGAGAAATAGATATAGATACCGTGTATATATATATATATATATCTAGCTATCTATCCCAGTTTATGGCACAAGATTGGAGTATATCAGAATACTGAATGATACTGAATGCCCATCCAAGGTTTATCATGGTTCATCCATCATTCAGCAGTCGCAAGGGACACTTTGGATGGCCGGGGTTCGAATCATCCGCTTCGGGGCTCGAATCCCCGCGGGCCGTTGAATTGTAGGGCACCCATCGACCAAGGTAATGGCAGATCTGAGGCTGTCCGTTGCACAAAGCTCATCAAAGTAGCCAGAAACATGGAAAAAGGATCAAATCAAATAAATCACACTAACTCAACATTGAAAACCGGTTGAATCAAATTGATTCACATTACACCGGGGTCAAAATAGATGGCGCAAAA